CAAGCCTGTGAGCGAGGCACTCCTGAATGAGAAGGTATGAGAACTGGCTGACCTAGGCGCAGCTTCACTGATCGTGGGGTCGCAATTTTGGAGTTCAATGGCTAATGATACGGCTGCAGTGGGACCGCGCGATTTCTTCTATGATCATTCGTTCTTCTCTTGGTCTCGGCTTCGGTGTCGTCTTTTCTTTCCTTCTCTTCAAGCGCAGGCAATGGCCCGCGTGGGTTGGCCTTGGTTTTGGCGCTGGACGTGCTTGGGAGGAAGCTGATGGTAATTGGACATCCCTGCTCACGGCTGCTCGTGGAAGTGCCGCGATGTTGTAGCTGCCAGTGCAGCGGTGCCAGAAGCATGCTTGAGCTCATCTTGGCTAACTATTATGTTTTTCGCAGCTTCTTTCCGGAGAGGAGACTCGCCATACTCTACAGAAGCCTTCCGTCAACTGTAAACTCCCGACACCCCAAGATGATATCCCTGGCTAGGTACGGGCCAGCTGTGCCTCGCCTACCACCCTCCGCTTGATCACCGCACATATTTCGCGTCTGCTACTGCTTTCTCTCAGCATTGTCTTGTTGCTAGTCCATGTTTTTGCGTTATGGGCTGAACATCCTTCCTCGACTCGAGCGTCCTCCCAGTTGTCGGGCAGGCAAGGTGAAGGAAGGGTCTGCCGCTATGTACATAAAATGCAGCTTAGCAGCATCAACAAGATATCCGTTTGCATATATCATATGTTCGTTCCTGGCTTTGAAATGGGCTTCCCTATGATCGTAACGTCTGTAGTGTTTGTCAAGGCAATACTCGCAATTTACCTGATAATTGCTCTAAGGTCAAGGTTAACAAATCAAAGGGTAGGTGGCCGAGCGGTCTAAGGCGATCGCTTCAGGTTAATCCTTGAGCATGCGGTTGTACTCTGTACTCGTGGGTTCGAATCCCACCCTACTCATCTTTTTTGTTTTGTTTTTCCAGTGGGTCATTTTTTTTATACCCATCGCTTTGAACTCATCTTTATCACATAACGACCTGTCGCGCTTGATGGCAATCGTTTGTCTTTGAATGTCCAGGGCACCAAAATCTGGTCGAAGAGATCTGCTTGCAGCTAGACTTTTCAATCGCGTTACGGAGTAGACGTCATTGGTGCGCTTATCGTTGATTACTTTGCGCCTGACATCATCATTGTTGCTCCGCAAACTTGAGTCTGCGCACCGTTCATCCTTTCAACCATCAAACCCACGAGTGGTATACTTGCAAGCCTGACAAAAGAAAGCCTGCTTCCGAATCTCTGCGTCATCGCCCCAGCAGCCACTTGTCACCCCGGCGGTTGCTTCAACATCGACAGCCCTCGCCGCAAGCACTCCCGCGCAGCAACTTGGAGCCGCATCTCAAGATTACCAGACCGCGCTGAGCGTCGAGCTGTCGAGCTGCCAGCGTCCACACCTTACTGGATAGTGATATACACACACGGCATATACCAGCCATAGCTTTGCTATGGTAACCAACGGCTCACCAATGCCGGCGCGATCACTGGAGCAGACGCATTCGGGAAAGCCTCGATTTCGAGGATGCGTTAGCATACGGGAGTTCGAGCCCATGTGCAAGCTGGGAGAAGGGACGTTCGGGTACGCATGCGATCTCTTTGTCATGGCGTTGGCCTGCAAACACCAAGGCGCAGCATGCTAACGTTGGATACTATGCAGAGAGGTATACAAAGCACGTCACAAGAGGAGTGGGAATATCGTGGCGTTGAAGAAGATATTGCTGCATAACGAGAAGGATGGGGTACTTATCCCCAGCGGCCTGTTTTATCACGTATTCAGTTATACTGACGGACGGCCTCTTAGTTCCCTATCACTGCGCTGCGCGAGATCAAGCTGCTGAAGCTACTGTCGCATCGAAATGTTCTCCAACTTCAGGAGATGGCTGTGGAACGGCCAAGGGGTACGTTGCTCTACATGTCCCTTTTTCATCAAAACAAAGCACCACTTACACGGTGAACACCTTAGGGGAAGGACGGAAGAAGTGCTCGATGTACATGGTGACACCATACATGGAACACGACCTCACCGGTCTGCTAGAAAACCAGAACGTCACGCTGTCTGAACCGGTGATCAAGTGCTATATGCGGCAGCTACTGGAGGGAATGAACTACCTTCATCAGAATAAGATCCTGCACAGGGATATGAAAGGTATGCCCGAAACTCTCAGAGACAGCTCCGCTACGGTGCTCCAAATCATTTGCTCACTATGAAATACGATAGCTGCCAACCTCCTTATCAACAACCAAGGTATACTGCAGATTGCGGACTTTGGCCTAGCAAGGCCGTACGACGAGCCGCCACCACAACGCGGCAAGGGTGGTGGGGAGGCTGTACGAGAGTACACAACGCTGGTTGTGACGAGGTGGTATAGGCCACCCGAGCTGCTTCTTCATCTACGGAAGTATACCACAGCTATAGACATGTGGGGTGTTGGGTGAGTCTAAGGAGTTCCCTACGGAACTGGTATTATCTGCCTTTCTAACTTGATAT